CTGAGGGGGGGGAGAGAGAGCTTCATTAGGGCTTCTTAAGTCATCTTATCTGTTTATCTATCTATCTATCTATCTATTTTAATGCTGGGGGGGGGGGGTGAGATTGCATTGTTTCTTCATTCTGTTACTCATCCATTCGTTGTCTTTTTGAGGGGCGCTCGGCGGGGAAAATTGCACCTAATTAAAGAAAAAAAAAGGAATTCATTAGGGTTAATTAGTGAGGTTAATTAGACATAACCGTAATTAGACCGAAAGAGAGGAAATACAGACAAACTTACGTCATTTTTTTTACTGACGATAAATAGTGGGTAATTTTCATCCCAAAATAACAAAAAGAAAACAATAGAAAGTTATTTTACATAAATCGAAGTTACAGCATCACGTTAAATCAACAATAATATATTACTAATTACAAGAGTACTATAAGAAAGAAAACAAAAACAAAAACACTAAATCAAAACTGCAAAGCGTACTTTTAATCCACAAAATACCCTGCTCTTTAAATAAAACATTTGTATATATATCATTAACACACGTAACTCCTGCCATAAGAGGATGCCAGCAGCCGCTCGAAGCCAAAGAGATAATATCGTTAATGGGATGAGCTTTGTTTGTTTATGATCATACATTTGAAACATTGCATGCAACTTCAATAAATAAAAAACAACAACACTAGAAGCATCCTTGGAAATGAAGAGAATGTCTCCCAGCAAACTCGAACAGATTGACTGCGATGACTTGCAATTATAAAGTAATAATGATTGCAATGACACTCCGAGCGTGATCAATTGCAACTCTGATTATATTGTTCATTCACCCACAAATAACTAGTCTCTAATAATCTTCCAACAATTTAATAACATTCTGACTGCGGAGTTGCAGAAAAGAGAGACAAAGGCGACAGATAAATGGTCATAAATACGACGAATAAATAATGTCACATCCGCTCTGTTACGCCAAAGATCTCCAAAAAAACACATGAAACAACGAGTTTAGCAAAACAAAGAAAAAAAAAGGATTTTTACCAACTAATGAAATGAAGTTGAGTCACGAACGCTACGAGTTTTGTGTGACGAGAGAGAAAATGGTCGAAAAAGTTTATTTTTTCTCTGTATCTCCCTCTGGTTGGTTCTGTCTCTCTCTCTCTCTCTCTCTCTCTCTCTCTCTCTCTCTCTCTCTCTCTCTCTCTCTCTCTCTCTCTCTCTCTCTCTCTTTCTCTTTCTCTCTCTCTCTTTCTCTCTCTCTCTCTCTCTCTTTCTTTCTCTCTCTCTCTCTGCCTCACTCCTCTCCCTCTCTCTCTCTCTCTCTCTCTCTCTCTCTCTCTCTCTCTGCCTCACTCCTCTCCCTCTCGCTCTCAATCTCTCTCTCTCTCTCTCAATCTCTCTCCCTCCCCCTCTTCCTCTTCTTCTCCCTCTCCCCCTCCATCTTCCTCTCCCTCTCCCTCTTCCTCTCCTTCTTCCTCTCCCTCTCCCTCTTCATCTCTCTCTCCTTCCTCTTCCTCTCCCTCCCCCTCTTCTTCTCCCTCTCGCTCTCCCTTCCCCTCTCTCTCCTTCTTTGGTTTCCCAAAATTACTCCATTATCCACCATCCACTGCCCTTCGTGGCGTGACTCCCTGCACTGCTGGTAACAATCTGAGACATTATATCTAAAGTGCATCAAAATGTTCTTTAATTTCCTCTAATATATATTTTTTCCTTGATTAATACGTGACCCTATTTCTCATTTTGCCTTAAAAAAAAACAAAAAAAAACGAATCGGGTGATCGAATTTAAATAGCAACGCATTTCTTTTTTTTTTGGGCTGTCTTTAAATAAATACTAGTACTGGGATAATGCAATTCCCTCCTAATTATAAAGAATAAAAATTTATGCGAATTCCTTCCCTATTTTTCTTTCTTTCGTTTTTGTTTTTTTTTAGATCAATATACATATACTACAAACTTCTTCTGTATTTTTCAAGATCTAAGGGCAGGTATGATAAACTATACTCCTCTATTTCATAAAAAAAAAACGTTTACGATCACCATTTCCAGTCCCCATGAATATGTCCCCAATCACCATGAACCAATCCCCAATCCAAAGATACCATAAACCAAAACCCCGATTTCTAATCCCCAATCACCATAAACCAAGCCTCAAAAACCCAATCCCAATCTCAATCACCATAAACCAAGCCTCAAAAAAAAAACTAATCCCAATCCCCCATCACCATAAATCAAGTTCCAATCATCTTGAATCTCAAATCCAAAATTCCCAATCACCATAATCCAATCACCGAATCACTACGAATCAAAACCCAATCTCCCCATGGATCAAAATCTCCAATCTTTATTGCCCAATCCCCAATCCCCATCGCGACCACCACGCGCCCCAACCACTCCCGGCAACGACCACGCTGATGATGAGAACGCGACCTTGCAACATCAACAGCGTGCATCATTGCAATTGTGTTAGCGGTGTTACGTTGCTTCGACCCCCACCCCCTCCCCCCCGTTGCGCTCGAGGGACCAGTAGTGATACTTTGCGAAACACATGTCAGTGTCAAAATTAATGGTGATGTCATTGGCGGTTGATGTTTTTGATGATGGCGATGATGATGATGGTGGTAATGATGATAGTGAAGACGGTGATGGTGGTGATGATTATGATGGTGATATTGACAACGATAATGATCAAGGCAACACTAATGATGATGATAATGATGATGATGATGATGATGATGATGATAATAACAATAACCTATACCGATAAAAAACAACAACAACAACCACCATAACACCATCACACTAATAGTAACATCAACCACCTTACACCTAACACCAATAATAGTAACATTAATATCCACAGAAACACTACCACTAACGTAACACCATGATCACAACGGCAAAACCAGCATCAATAATGTGTTACGCGGAAGTAGAAGGTGTTGTGCTTGTCCGTTTGCTTTTCGTTATTCGTTCTTTCATCCATTTATTTATCATTGTTTTGTGTGTGCATTCAGGGGGAAGACAGATAGAGACAGGCAGAGGGAGGGGCCGGGGGAAAGCGAGGGGTTGGAGGGAGGGAGGGAGGGAGGAAGGGAGGGAGGGAGGGAGGGAGGGAGGGAGGGAGAGAGGGGATAGCTAGATAGATGAATGTGAATGTGAATGTGTTTATATATGTGTGTATATATATATAAATACATATATATATATATATATATATATATATATATATATATATATATATATATAGAGAGAGAGAGAGAGAGAGAGAGAGAGAGAGAGAGAGAGAGAGAGAGAGAGAGAGAGAGAGAGAGAGAGAGAGAGAGAGAAGACGAAAGAAAAAGAAAAAAAGGAAAAAAATCATACATACACACATACAAACAGTACATCCAGACAGAAAGCAGTAAAAGAACACGGAAGACAGACAGACAGAGAAAGAGAGAAAAAGAGAGTGAGACGAAAGACAGACAGACGGAAGACAACAAAAGCAAAACGAAAGCAAAAAAGCAAAAAACAAAGCGAAAGCGAAAACGAAAGGCAGAAAAGCAGAGAAAACAGGAAAACAATTACCATGGAAGGCGCATCGGGATTCAATAAAGAGCTAAGCAATAACCGGGCGCCACACATAAAGCTGCGAGCGCCATTCCCTTCCCATCCCTCAACTCCTTAAGTTCCCAGGAAGTTTGTTTACACAGGACTTTGTTTCCTTCCTCTCTCTCTCGCTCTCTCTTTCGCTCTCTCTCTCTGTCTCTGTCTCTCTCTCTCTTTCGATCTCTCTCTCTCTCTCTCTTTCGCTCTCTCTCTCTCTGTCTCTCTCTCTCTTTCGATCTCTCTCTCTCTCTCTCTCTCTCTCTCTCTCTCTCTCTCTCTCTCTCTCTCTCTCTCTCTCTCTCTCTCTCTCTCTCTCTCTCTCTCTCTCTTCTCTCTCTCTCTCTCTCTCTCTCTCTCTCTCTCTCTCTCTCTCTCTCTCTCTCTCTCTCTCTCTCTTCTCTCTCTCTCTCTCTTCTCTCTCTCTTTCTCTCTTCTCTCTCTCTTTCGCTCTCTCTCTCTGTCTCTGTCTCTCTCTCTCTCTTTCCCTCTGTCTCATTCTCTCTCTCTCTTTCCATCTCTCTTCCCTTCTCCTCCACTCCCCTCCCTTCCTCTTCCTTCTCACCCTTCATCCTTCCACCTCTCCCTCTCCCTTCCCTTTGTGCCCCCCTCCCCCCCTCCCCCCCGACACACCCAATCATCCCAGGTGCTTTCTTAGCGTTTCCTTCAGCGAGCATTCCGAGGCCCTGCAACTGACATCCGGCAGAGATTGCAACGAGCAACGAGTGCGTGGGAGCCGTGCGAGTTGCCGGATCCCTGCGCGGTGCATGGATATAAGAACACGGCTTAAAAGGAAAATGTAAAAAGAAAAAGAAAAAAGGATGGGAAAAGAAAAGGAAAGGAAGGAAGGAAGGAAAGAACAAAGAAAAGAAAATGAGAGGGGAAAAGAATAAAAGGAAAGGAGAGGAAATAAAAAAATGAAAAAAGAAAAGAACAGAAAAGAAAAATAAGAAAAAAGAGAAAAAGAAAAAGAAAAGAAAAAAGAGAAAAAGGAAAGAAAAAAAGAAAAAGGCAAGAAACGAACAGAAAAGAAAAAGAAAAAAAAAGCTGAAAAAATCAAAGCAAAGAAAGAGAAAAAGAAAACAAGAAAAAAGAAAAAAAAAATCAATGGTTCTGGACCGAATCGTAACCAGCTGAATATCGTCCTAGAATTCACTTCCTTCTCCTAGTCCTCGTCTCCACTCATCTCCCAATCCTAGAAACTCATTATCACCGCCTCATAGAGCTCATTTCCAAACTCCTAGAGCTTGCCTTCGCCTCCTAAGAACATACCAACGCCTCTAAGCACCTACTCCCACCTCCTAGAGCCTACCTTCGCCTCCTAGAGCTTACCAATACCTCCTAAATATCATATTCCCTTCTTGAAGCTTATCCTAACTCCTCCTCTCCCTCCTCGACCTCATCTCCCCTTCCTCGCACCTACTCTAAG